ACGGCTGTCCAGAAGCCAGCGACTGATCTGCCTCACCCGGGAAGAGCGCAACGATGGTGCCAACTTGGGCCAGTGAAGCAACGTCCTCCACAGCTAGACTGAAGAACAAAAGAACAGCAACTTGTCTGTTCCCCTTCCCCCAATTCTTCCCCAGTGCTGTTCCCATCCCACAATGCCCCAATAAAAATCTTTAAAAAAGCAAATCAAAAAAAAACAACAAAGAGTCAGCCCTGCAAGTCTTGTGATTCCATCAATTACAGAGCTTTGGTTTAATTTGTCCATAACAAGGAGCACTGGATGGAAATTTCACCTTGTGTTTGAGTCAAATACTGCTGGGTTTCACCTGGCCAACTGGTTATTCTGTCAGTGGTGGTCCTCATGTTGGCTGCAAGAAAAGTTACAGCTCCTTGATGTTCAGGCATGGACACTGCTCCCACACTGAACTCACCTGGCCCCAACACTCCTGTATCAGAGCACTTACAATGTTGTACTGTAGTGTTTGGTTGTATGTCTCCCTCCTCCACCACACTATGAGGTCTTTCAGAACAGATAGCATGTCTTTGAAACCCTACTAATGGGAATCAGCCTGCAACCTAGAAGCTTTTCAGCAACTATTTTTCTCAAGCAGCTCCTGCCTGAAAATCACAGTGGTGTCTCGCTTCCTTAGAAGACTGGTCTCCCTGTAGCTGCTGCAGGCATTTCCCACTCAGGAAAATAGAAAATATTCTCTGGAATTGGTCAATATGAGGAAGCCTCTTCTCTTTCATTGCAGGTCTGTTCACTGGCCCTGGGAGAAGAATGAAGGGGAGCAAAGGGTCTGCTCATGAGCTGCCATCATTCCAAAGCCAGTGACGGTGTTGCCTGTAGCTTTACTGTGTGGTGGGTCATGCAGGACATCCAGGATTTTCCTTCAGGAAGAGAGAGGAGATATGAAAAGCCCCCATGACACCTTTTGGGAGCTGTCATCCTTAATGTTTATTTATGCATAGATTCAACAAACACCTTTTATTTTTATTTTTATTTTTTTTTAGCTGAGCCATCCTGCTGCCTGTTGGCAGCTCAGCGGCTGCTCAGCTCGGGCTGGACTCGAACCGCTGTTGCTCAGAGCTCAAACTNTGTTTTTGAGTATACATCCCATAACTCTATTTGAAGGTGGAGTATTCAGTACTCAAGGCGACTCCAGGCAGAAAAGACAAGGGACATGAAATACCCGCTTGGCACCTTGACAGCCTCAGTTGTGGAGCTCTGAACCGGTGAACCAACACTGTTGCCCCTTATTACATCCTCTTCCATTCTCCCCTCTATCCCAACCATTCCAATGTGCTTCATGGTGAGAAATGTGTTGCTTTCCTTAGTTTCAGAGCAATACAGGGTACATGCATGCATCCCCAAACTGAAGTTCTATGACTAACCCAGTTGTCTGCTTTACTTGCTTTTCAAAAGTTTTCTTTTCTATACGTCTCAGAAAACAGATGGCCTAAAACATGATGATTGACAAGAGTTTAATATGAAACAATTTAGCAATCTGGGCAGGTTTAGGGAAGATTACATGGGATGGTGACATTTACCCCCTGAGGAAAGTAAGAGCAGGAAGCCTTAATATCACTAAGCTTAAAAGACAAAGGGAAGGAAAAGTTACCACAACTCAAGTAGGGCTGTGGCTGTAGCAGTAATTGTCACTGTAATTGAAAGAAAGGCCACCAGACAAGCCTCCATTTCCTCCTCTGTAACATGGGACCCTAATGCCCACGTAGCAGGGTGACCATGAGATCAGTGATCATACAGCATGTGCTTAAATCTTGTGTGTGCTCCAGGGGCACCAGCGAAGTGTTTCAGAGCATGGATCCAACTGTCACAACCTGGGAGACGACACCAAAATATGAAAATGGCAACGCCACTTACACACAACATACGGAGATAGTGATGTCGGCTTTGATGATTGTCATTTCCCTAGTTGGGCTGGCAGGAAACGCGGTGGTGCTGTGGCTCCTGGGCTTCCGCATACGGAGGAACACCTTCTCTGTCTACATCCTCAACCTGGCGGGAGCCGACTTCCTCCTCCTCTGCTGCCAGATTGTATATTCCCTGGAGACACTCATCTTCTACTTCCATTCCGTCTCCATTGGCTTAGAGGACTTTTACGTCGTTGTGTTCAACTTTTCCTACATCGCAGGCCTGAGCTTTCTCAGCACCATTAGCACTGAGCGCTGCCTGTCAGTCCTGTGGCCCATCTGGTACCGCTGCCACCGCCCCAGACACATGTCAGCTGTCCTGTGTGCCCTGCTCTGGGCGGTGTGCCTGCTGCTGAGCATCCTGATTTGGAGCGCCTGTACCTTTCTGTTTAAGAGTTTTTCTCATGGAATGTGTCCAGTACTTAATTTCCTCACTGCTGGGTGGCTGATTTTCTTATTTGTGCTTCTCTCAGGGTCCAGCCTGGCCCTGGTCACCAGACTGCTGTGTGGCTCCCAGCGGGTGCAGCTGACCAGGTTGTACGTGACTGTCATACTCACAGTGCTGGTCTTCCTTCTCTGTGGCCTGCCCTGGGGAATCAACTGGTTCCTCATATACTGGATTAAGCATTATTTCGATCCGTTCTTCTTGCCTTTATACCCGGCTCTTGTCCTGTCCTGTGTCAACAGCTGCGCCAACCCCATCATTTACTTCTTCGTTGGCTCCTTCAGGCAGCGATGGCGGCATCAGCAGCAGTCCCTGAAGCTGGTTCTCCAGAGGGCTCTGCAGGACATCCCTGAGGAGGGTGAACATGGAGGAAGCCTTCCTCAGGAACCACTGGAG